ATTAAAAAGGCATCAAAATGGGAAAAACCCCCCTTGGTATCTCTGCAACAGTTCATATGGCTTCATACCATGTAAATGCGCCATAATGCTGGATTTACATGGTATGAATCTGTATGAAATGTTGATACACTGAAACAGTGCGGCTATAAGTTGTAATAGCAAATTGAATGATATCGAGCGAGATGTATGTACTACAGTTTTTGATATGAAAATTTATAGCGAGATTCTGTAAACATACTGTTGTGATACTGTTAACCATATGAATTTATAGCAAGTTGAATTTTCATATCATTTCCTATAACAACTATTATAAAATGCAGCGGTGCCAGAAATTGTTTTACATAAAATCCGTCCTTTTTTGGCTAAAATCCTTCGTATCAAAGAAAAACGGCATCACTTTGCTTTGAGTTTTCAAATTATTGTCAATGCTTTTTTTTAATTTTTCAAAACAAAAATTTTCATCGATAGCAGAACAAACGTTAGTTCAAAAACATATGTATATCTTTGATTAAAAATCAGTATTTTGTTTTGTGATAATACATAGTTTGTTTCAGATGGCTACAGCAGAGAATTTACATTTTCAAGACAATGGTAAGCTAACACTTTTTCTAAGTATTTATATCTATACATCTGTTGATATTCCAATTTCGTTAGGCTTATTTATAGAAGCCGTTCGTTCTCGGCCTAGTTTATGGGACATCCGCCAAAATTCCTACAGGAATCAAACGTTGCGAAGCAAGGCTTGGCAAGAAGTTCTTGGAGAACTTGGTAAAAGATAAATGTATACACCGACATAGGCATATTCCATCTAATTTTTTTTATAAAGGTCTTGTGGTTTCTCAAGAGAATATAAAAGCCATAGGAAAGCGATGGAGTTCCTTACGGTACCGTTACAGTAAGTGGAAAGAATTCGGTACTAGGAGTGGGTCAAGTGGAGAGAAAAAATATTTTCCGCACTCGGCACAAATGGCATTTCTGAATGACTCGTTGCAAACTAGGAGGTATGTATATATGTACACATACATGCATTATTACATAGTACAACAAATTTAGAGCCTTTTTTGCAAGAGAAAAATATAATAGGGCTATTCGCGATTCGGTGCATAAGAACTGACAAATTTATGCAATTGCAGAAATATGCCATGGATTGTGAGCGACCTTTATTAAACTGTCATGGCAAAGCTTTTGCAAAACAATTTTTGTGCATCAGCTTTGGTTTTGTTTATGAATGCAATGCATAGCATTTTTATGCTATGGATTTTCGGTATTGCAAATTTGCCAAGCCATGACAAATGCAAATGCGTGTATTTTGTTTGTGTATTGCAAATAATTTGCAATACAAATTTGCAATGCAATGATGCTAGGCCATTTGCACCGGATCGCGAATAGCCCTAATGATTACGTATATTTCTAAAAGTGGACGTCGTACTGACATTTTTGCTCAAAAAACTTATAGTCCAGCAAGTCTTCAACTCTTCCATAAAACTCTTTTGGATTGGTAGTGTAAATAACAAAAAACTTAAACGTGCTGGACTGTCCAAACTTATGATCTGAGCGATGTCCCCTTTCAAAAAAATACCTTGGTTCTTGCGAAATGGCTGTTGTGCAGTGTTATTTATAGTTACCATTTACGTATACATATATCGTCGTTTAAAGTACAAAACCGCGTATCGTCATTCTGCAAAACCGCATTTGCTGCCAAAAATTGGATTTGCTCACACCAGCTTTTGGCTCAATCCTTATCCATTCATCCTGAAATATACTTGTCAGAAATGCGATTGCTTTATAAAAAAGAGAACCATTTTGAGATATGAGTGTTTATACTCTCTAGAAAATAATTTATGCAACCTCACATACGCGGTTTTGCATTTTGTTGATACGCGGTTTTGTACTTTAAACGACAATATGTAGATATTTATATTAATTTGATCACGTTAAGTGAGTCCCGATTTCCCAGTTGAATTTTATGTTCAAGTAGAAAATAGGGCCTACTGGACGTGATCTTATTTTATCCGTAAATATGCTAATTTAGATCCACGAGCCTTTGGCAAACTGCAATTACTGAGGGGATGGAAGATGACCATGAGGAGGAACGGCCAAGCACTTCAAACAAAAATATGAGCCACGAAAAAGGTAAGCAACCATTCTACCTCTTTTATTTTTATGCAACTCCTTTACCACAAAATATGTATATGTAAACATATCTCTTTTTTTTCAGAAATTATCGCTTTAAAAAAGGAAGAGCTTAATATCAAAAGGAGATACGTGGAACAGCAGGAAACTAAAAAGAGCCAAGCACAAATGTTTGGTGATAGTGTTGGGTTAGACCTTGAAAACTTGCCAGGCCCCCTATTTAGAAAAATAAAAATGCGCATCATGTCAGTTATTGACGAAGAACTAAGCGAATATGAAAACATAAATTAATAATATTTTATACTATGGACAGAATTAACAATAATTTTTCAAATTCTAAAAACTTTTCATCAAAATTTCAAACACTTTAATCAGACTTATAAAAAACAAGGTATGTAGTTTTGTAGCCCATTAAATTTTAGTGCAATAAGATACAAGTTTCAGGTAGTTTTTTTGCATGGAAGANGAATGGAAGAAAATGCACACAACACCCTCGCAAAACAAATTCTCTAAAATCAACAGAATATTTTAACTATCTGAAACTTT